GGAAAAGAAAACAAAACAAAAAAAAAGGAATGAATCTTCTGCTAGAACATGGAACCATACGCCGCCATATGTTTTGTCTTTTGTGCAAGTAGTGATGAGTGGAGCAAGGCCCTTAGGACCACTGCTCGTAGGAAAACGAAACAAAAGAAAGAGAGAGCTACGGGAGCAGTAGTTGTAACTTGTAACCCATAACTGCTGGACAGCATACCTGACTTCGGATCCAGAACATATATTGCTGGCCTCCTCCACTCTCACACGAAATTTGCCGAATGTCTCTTGAGATGTTGGACCCTCACAGATGCACTGCTGGGGTCCTTCGGGAAAAAGACTATTCAACAAGGAATAAGTGGGCTCAAATTTTATTTTTTTTCTGTACTCCTCTATCGTTCTCCTCCTCTTTTCTTGTCTTCCTCCTCCTCGTCTTCTCCCCCTACTCCTCCTTTTTGGGTTATTTATTTTTTATTTGGTCCATTTCTCGATTAATGTGTGTCATCTTGGCACAGGGGCCATGCTAATCTTGCCCTTGGGAAGTTGGGACATTCAATAAAATTGGAAGGAAAAGATTAGCATGGTCCCTACACATGGATGACACACTTTAACTGAGAAGGAGTAGTGGCGTTTTTTTTTGTTTTTTTTTTTTTCCCGGGACAGTATATGGGATCCGGACCATGATCCGGACCGGTCCGGAAATTCCAAAATATTCCGGTTTCCCGGAAGTCTGGATGGGCCCGGGAGGTCCGGGGTCCGGGGTCCGGAATCGGTCCGGGGTCCGGTCCGGCGTAGCTATGCTAGAGAATGATCAACGAGTTTAGAGCAGATTGGCTGTAAGAAGATAAAGCTAGCTGAGTTGGCTGATGGAATAACTGAAGCTGACATGGAATCGCAATGGCCCACTAACAACATCATTCAAGTCCATCCATCTGTCCATTCATCCATTTTCACCCAACCGTCCATACCCAACCAGCCACACACACACACACACACACACAGACACACACACAGACACACACACATATGCAAATATTGACATATTGTCACATATGACACGTATATATCAACTAAAAGCGTGCAATTCGCAAGGCAAACGAAAAAAAAAATAGGCGACAACATGAAGCACTCTGAAACTGTTCTTTTGCCTTTTCCTGTGCAGTGGTCTCTTTTTCTCTTTTTCTTTTTAATAAGAAAAATAGAACATTACGGTACCGGCTCCTTATCCATTCTGGGGAAATCAGTCCAGCTCCCATTTCATCGGCAAGTCGGATAATTACAAAGACAACACACACTGATGCTTCTCCCCGTTATGGATGAGAGATCCGAGTGGGCGGCATTGATTGCTTCCCATCGGAAGGATGTACTTCCCCTCACCCCTGCCGAAGTTAGCCTTGTTCGGAAAAACGCTTGTCGGGGGAGAACGCATCGCACGTCCAACCCCTGTTCACCGACAGGAAACGAGCCCGCCCCTCCGCGCGATGCAGCTGCGCTATCACCACGGCCATCAAGCTGCGGCCCCGCCATCGCCTCTGCCAGCCAGCCATGCCATTGCGCCCCCTGCCCACACCATCGAGCCCCCTGCCGCGAAGGTTTGTGCCCCCCCGGTCCTTCTTCTTCTTCTTCTTCTTCTTCTTCTTCTTCTTCTTCTTCTTCCTCCTCCTCCTCTTCTTCTTCTTCTTCGTCTTCTATTTTTTCTTCCCTTCTCCTTCATCTTGTTTTCTTCCTCTTATTTTTTTTCTTCTTTTCTTTTCTTTTCTTTTTTTCTTTTTTTCTTTTTTTCTTTTTTTCTTTTTTTCTTTTTTTCTTTTTTGTTAGAATTTCCTTTGTTTTTAATTAAGGAAAATTGCATTCCAAAGATAGATCAAGGTCAGGGACCTCATAATTCAACCCGGGGTTATCCTGGGAGCCTTACCCAGTTTCGCTTACGAGCCTCCGCTCGTGACAGAATCCTGTCTGTCCCAGACTTTCTACTCATCCTCTATCCCGATGTATCCTACCGGAAACCATTTCTTAAACCCTAAACCCCTGGGGTCCAGCTCATGCCTGCTCCTCTATCATGATGCATCCTACCAGAAAACATTTCTTCTTTTCTTGTTTGCCAGGTTTTCTTTTCTTCTTTTTCTTCTTCTTTCTTCTTCATTTTCTTCCTCCACTCCTCTTTCTTTTCTTCTTCTTTGATGTCTGCTCCTCTTCTTCTTCTTCTTCTTCCTCTTCTTCTTCTTCTTCTTCTTCTTCTTCTTCTTCTTCTTCTTCTTCCACTCATCGTCTTCTTCTCTTCTTCCACTCCTAGTCTTCTTCTCTCCTCCTCCTCCTCCTCCTCTTCTTCTTCTTCTTCTTCTTCTTCTTCTTCTTCTTCTTCTTCTTCTTCGACTATTTTCACCCCTCTTCTTCTGTCCCCCCCCCGCTCGTCTCCTTCCTCTTCTCTTCTTCGTTCTCGTTTTCTTCCTCCCTCGTGCTCTTCGTCATCTTCTTCCTCTCCTCCTTTTCGTCTTCTTCATCGTCTCCTTTTCTTCGTTTTTTTTTTTTTTTTTTGTGTGTGTGTGTGTGCAGACCTGCCCTGTCGCTTCTTCCCGCTCTTCCGTTCCCACCTACCACGTCCCTGCCGCTTGCTCATCATCCTCAACCTCCCCCCCCCGTGCACCTGATCTTCGTCTTGTTTTCTTCTTCTTCTCCTTCTTTACTAATTATTTTCCTTCATTTGTTCTTCTTCAAGGTCTTCTTTTCTTTCTCTTCTTCTTCTGGTGCTTCTTCCACTCTTCTTCTTCTTCTTCTTCTTCTTCTTCTTCTTCTTCTCCCATACCCTGAATGCAACACCCCCCTTACCACTCTCGACCTCGACCCTCCCCCCCCTCCTCCCGGCAGACCCCCAAAAAACAATTCCGACAGATCTCAGCAAGCGCAGTCGGATCCCGCAAAGAAAAAAGAAATAAAAAATAAAAAATAAAATAAAAATAAAAATAAAAACGGCATTTTTTGGGGCCATCCGGTTTGCCGGTTGACCCCCCCTGGGCCAGTCTGGCCCCGGTTGGACTGGGGCAGCTTGACCGGTCAGTCGCCGGCACAGCCCTGCCTTGCTCTCTATTACTCTCCAGCTGTGTAGTCCTCATTTCTCTCTCACCAGTCCTCAAAGTTTAAAGCCCTTCCTTTTACTTGTGCTATCTGCTCTTTTCTTAACCAGACCTCTACGAAACGACTATGTTGCTGTGCTCTTTTCTGTAGGTCTAGTTCCTTTTCTAAAATTTCTAGGGTGTGTCTGCGTTCTACTCTAACTTCGGTCTCGATTATCTCGTTGGCTTCTTCCCAGGAGTCTGTGGTGTCTTTGTGCTTTTTCCTATTGTTTCCACTCCACCTTGCCCTCCAAATTACCCACAGCACTGTCTTTCTTAGCATTTCTGCTAGATTTCTATCCTTCTCTGAGAGACTTGCCCCTCTCCGTCCATGGCTGTTAGGAGAGAGCTAAGACATTGCGGCCGTTGGTTGGTCACGTAATAAAAGTAGTTAGCTTTTTTTTTTTTTACGTCCAGGTCTTCTTGGCTCTATCCCACAAGGCTTTGGCATGTGCACACTCCAGGAAGCAGTCTGTGATTGATTCTTTTTGTCTGTTTGGGCACATCCTGCGAAGGGGCGAGTCCTCTGCTCTGTCTCTTCTTCTCTGCGTCTTATATCTAACCACCCATTGACTGGTACCGCTAGCGGCGCTACCGTCTTCACCCGAATAGAACCTCCAGTCATTATATAGCTGTATTTGGCACAACTTTCGGTCCAGATGCAGCAATAATGACCGGGCGTTCTATTCGGGTGAGGATGGTAGGTATATAATTAGCCATTGTAGGCTTCTGATTTGACCTGGTCTAATGGATGTGTAGTAATCCCAAGATAATAAGACATAGACTGTAACCATCCTGGGTTTGTTCACATATGCTTTTCCCACCCTGTTGAGATGGCCTGAAAAAAAGAAAAAAAAAAAAAAAAGAAGAGATGGCCTGCTATGAGTTTCCTGATCTTTGCCTGTCCTTCTAACCTGTCTTCACTTTGTATTCATCTAAGCTACCCATTTGTTTACCCTGCCCGGTCCCCTGATCTCATGCCATCCCCATTCTGCTGGGTCTACTTCTAAATCCTTTCTCTTTACTAGCTGGTCTAAATAACCATAGTGGTTCCTCCTGTTTTTTATACTGGTGCATTGCTTGTTTCTGCAACTTTTTGGTCGTTTCTGAGTTCCCGGTCCCCTGATCTCATGCCATCCCCATTCTGCTGGGTCTACTTCTAAATCCTTTCTCTTTACTATCTGGTCTAAATAACCATAGTGGCTCCTCCTGTTTTTTATACTGATGCATTGCTTGTTTCTGCAACTTTTTGGTCGTTTCTGAGTTCCCGTACTTTTCGTAGATTACATGCGAAGAAGTCTAGTTCTATAAGAGATTCTTTTTCTTACCTCTACAGTACTATTGATTTCTCTATGCTTTCTAAATCGTGTACCTCAAATTTTGCTATGCCCCTCCCAGCATCAGACATTTCCATAAATTTGAGGGCTACCAATGGGATCTTTTTATTTTTATTTTTCGCCCAGCCACCGTTTTTCAATTCACTGTTCCCTCTTAGTAGTATTTCCATGCTATTGGGATGCTGTCTAAAAAATAGTTTGTCCAGGTTTCTTCTGCAGATTCTGATATCCTCTTAGCACTGTTCCAAGTGTTCTTATCTCCTTTTCTTCTTTCCATCTTCTGCTCTGTTTGTCCCACAAATGTTCCACTTTCCAAATTCCTTTGTCTTTCCGCACTAATTTCGAAACTTGTTGCCACAAGAAAACGAGGCCGAAACGTTAAACGCTGGGCCCGCCATTGATAAATTGTGGATCCGCGGTCCCTTTTGCGTTTCGCGCTTCCGGAATTCGAGGTGTCACGCCCGCGGCCCAGGTAGCCGTGTACTGGGGCTTTAATCCATTTGTAAGTTATTCCCGAATAGTGGTTGTCTGAGGACATCTTCCCTTGTTCTCGGGTTTCTTAGTCTTTCTGGGGACGCTTCCCTCCACGTCGTGACGAGTTTGGAGTCTTTGGAGTCTGGACCCATGTTCGCTTGGGGGTCCTTTTCATCCTGGGACCTGGGTTGCTGTCTGTCTGTTCCTGTCGTGATAAAATCTACTAGGGATCCAGTGTCTGTTCGTTATCTAGTGATGCCCCTCTATATCCTCTCCTCCAATTTAAAAGGTACTAGGTTCCTTACTTGATGTGTAGGGTCATTACCTGCCAAGTTAGTTACCAAACATGACAAACAAAATACTTCAGGCATACAATAATATAGCACTCACATGCCCATTGATGTTCTCCCTTCCTCGATCTTCAACCTTTGAGTTCTCGTGAAGCACACCCGTCTTCACCACTGCCTGCAATACCCCAAGCAGAGACCATCCAGCCACAGTTGACGATCAGAGTTAATGATCAGACGCTTCTATTACACTACCTCGAAGTTCTTTTACTGATTCTGATCGTGTTGGGCTCAGCACGTACTGGCCCACAGTTTCTTTGCTTGTTCACATTTTTTCTTCAGCTGTTTCCTTGAAGCACTGGTGCAAGGATTTGAACCCAGGCCCTGTAGGACTACCTTCTTCCCCCGAACATAACTCCCGAAAGCTTTATCAAAATGGAAATCCTCTTGGAAGTTGGAATTATATTCGTTTACAGCTCCTAGGGAGCTGCAGCTGCTGCACTCAGGAGGAGCTACATTGGGGGAGGGTCAAAGTTTTCAAGGGAAAAAGCAAAAATTATGGAAAATTTTCCGAAAAAATATATATGGTATAGACAGCTGCCTGCACCCATCTACTCCAGCTCTCTCTCTCTCTCTCTCTCTCTCTCTCTCTCTCTCTCTCTCTCTCTCTCTCTCTCTCTCTCTCTCTCTCTCTCTCTCTCTC